AACAAGTGCCTTACTAGTAGTAACAAGTGCCTTACTAGTAGTAACAAGAAGCTACTAGAAACAAATGCCTTACTAGTAGTAACAAGTGCCTTACTAGTAGTAACAAGAAGCTACTAGAAACAAGTGCCTTACTAGTAGTAACAAGTGCCTTACTAGTAGTAACAAAAAGCTACTAGAAACAAGTGCCTTACTAGTAGTAACAAGAAGCTACTAGAAACAAGCGCCTTACTAGTAGTAACAAGTGCCTTACTAGTAGTAACAAGAAGCTACTAGAAACACGTGCCTTACTAGTAGTAACAAGTGCCTTACTAGTAGTAACAAGAAGCTACTAGAAACAAGTGCCTTACTAGTAGTAACAAGTGCCTTACTAGTAGTAACAAGAAGCTACTAGAAACAAGTCCTTACTAGTAGTAACAAGTGCCTTACTAGTAGTAACAAGAAGCTACTAGAAACAAGTCCTTACTAGTAGTAACAAGAAGCTACTAGAAACAAGTCCTTACTAGTAGTAACAAGAAGCTATTAGAATTAAAGTCGATGTGACTCAGGAGCGCGAGACGGATGTGCCAGCGAGGAATGAGACGGACTCCAGGGACTGTGGAAAGGATGCAATCAGGAATTAAGTAAGGAAGAGTAAGCTACTAGCAATGGCTTCCAACCTAATAGCGCTAGCTTGCAAGCAGTAAGCTGTAAGAAGAAACAATAGCAAGACGCATTTGCCTGAAAACCATTTGCTGTCAAGCACTTCATTACGCAGCCTGACTTCTGTCGTTTTTCTCTAGATCTGACTCCGTGCCTGGCAAAATCAAGCTCCCAGAGAATGCGATGGCTTTGTCTGCAGTCGAGCCACCTGCCTTAAAACTCTTACACACTGTTTAAGTGACTGATTTCAAGTCGTGCCGAAGCACTGGCTACGAAGGTTGCCCAAACAACAGCTGGCAGATAGTGAATCACACAAGTCAGAAGAATAGACTTAAGTTTTAACGAACATTTTGATCAATTCTGACTCTCAAGCCCTCAGCTCAAGAACTGAAGCAAGCAGAAAACGACTGACATGGGTCACTTGTTTCATCGGCTTCTTGTGCATGCTAGATACAAATTAGCATAGAAAGGTGCTATCTCTTCAACTCGCTTCCTCATGATATGGCAGATGGTAAACTGCCACCACCACCGCCACCACCACCACCGCCACCACCACCACCGCCTCCGTCGCCACCACCTGCACAGACGCTGACTCAGCCACTTCATGTAGATTGTCAGTAGATTGTGATTGATGCCAGAACTGTAGAGGACTCCTTGTATTCACATTCTGGACAGTCTCTGAACCAGAGTGCTTCCAACAAATTTGTTTCTTATTATTTTTGCATGCTTTTCAAGGCTGGCAAATGCAGTGCCCTTCAATGTGCGGAGAGGGCCTTTGCCTTAGCTATGATACAGGCGAACACGTTTGAAGAAACCGGACAAGCCCGCTGAGGCAAGCAGTCTTCAAGAAGTATTGACTCTTGATTGCCTTGGTGCTATGTGGGCCCGTACCGGGCTCGATGTTTGAGTTCTGAGGTTCACAATGCCACACCTTTAAACCTGAAGGAGCGCTTCCAACGCTTCCAATGCCGCTCCTTCTCGACCAACATCTTTTCAGATCTCAGACACTGTGAGAGGAAGGGGCACAGTCCGAGGGCCTAACCTCTTTGGAGTGGTGGACTCCACCTCTGGCACCAAGGCGCAAAACAACTAAAGCAGAGCCAAAGCAGCTAACGCATGTCGTGTCATTTCTAGCACCAATGGCATCGCCGCCATGTCGTGAGGTGAAGGAATGGGGCGGTAGCTTTCAACGGCTTGAGGACTCCGATTTGAGACCTCAGTGGCTTTCACTTGAAGCAAAAATAGCGATGGCCTCCAATAGCGATGGCCTCCAACCTCAGAGTGATGGCTTTCACTTGAAGCAAATTGAAATAGCTTTTATTTGCCGCAAAGGCTGGACCAAAAAATTCGCAAGATTTCAAGGTCATTTGGAGCAAAGAAACCCTGTTGGTTTGGCTTCAACGCCCTTCTGATGTTGTGCCTGGAGCTGAGAACAGGTTCTCGGAGCGTCTGGACACCTTCCAGAGTTGATTACAAAGGTCACTGTCTGTGCAGAACTGACAAGCCTTTGCGTGTTGTTTCATTGCTGCACTCTTTCTTTATGTCGTTTTGTCGTAGTTTGAACAATAACAGACTATCTGCCAGTGCTTGACATGGTGCTTCAAAGCATTCATTGTTTTGAGCGAAGTCACTGTTGTAGGGGCCGAAAGTAGTTTCTCATGGTAGGGCCGCTTTCCCGTGTAAGGCAAAATGCCCAAAACCTGCTCAGACTCCAACCAACTTTCCACTGTAACCCTCTTGCTTTCCTCTGATGTTCCACGCTATCATCCACCTAGCAAGCGCTGAGAAGGCACTTTCCAACCTCGTAGGGTGGAGGCCATTGCTAGTAGGTTGCAGGCCATCGCTAGAAGGGTGGAGGCCATCGCCATTAGGTTGGAGGCCATCGCTATTAGGGTGGAGTCCATCGCTATTAGGTTCCTATTTTTATTCTGAGTCGGGAGTCTCTACGAGGCCCCAAAAGGCTCAAGATCGGTGCAGGGCTCAGAACAAGGAGTTGGATGAAGTTAGGGTAGCTGTGGTTGATCTGAAGCGCAAGCTTTTCGGACTCCATACACTATAGTCTGAAGACTCCAGTTTTAATCGTTTTTCGGACACCATACTGCAACATTGAAATAGTACCATCCAAAAAGTTTTCTGAACTTCGCAAGTCCATTCGTTTCGCAAGTTGGTGTCAAAGACAGTTGGAACCTACCGTGCCTGACTAGTTCTGTTTCACTTTGAGTTCTGGAAGTATCATTTGACATGTTTCTTGATTTTACGAAAGCCAGCCTTCGTAGAAGGCGCCAGCTGAGTTGTGTTTGGCGAACGAAGTGAGTAAGTAGGGGGTCTGGCGGGGTGGCCCCAGAAACCCTACGGAAACTTGAAATTAGGTGGTGTTTAGGGGTGCACGGAAGCAAAGTTTTCGAGGTTGTTTTGGAGGTGATATTTTGTGATTTTTGAGCGAGTGGTGATGTAAGAGATGTAATTTTTTGCATTTGCATCATCTGCATGGTAAGGTGTAGACTTACCGAGGCCGATGTGTTGTAGCTTCGTGCAGCTGTGAATGCATAACCTCTTGCACACCTATATAGGTTCAAAGCACTATTGAGACTTCAAAGCTGTGGACTGCTGCACGCTTCTAAAGGTTATCGAGCGGTTGACGGAAAGGGAACTTGAAGTGCTATACCTGGCAACTGAAGTGTAGCTACTGTGTTGTAGCTTCGTGCAGCTGTGAATGCATAACCTCTTACACACCTATGTAAGCTCAAAGCACTAATAAGGCTTCAAAACTGTGGGCTGCTGCACGTTTTTCAAGGTTATCTTTCATCCTTCTCACGCCTTACGCCGCCTTTCTTCCCCAATGCGTCATGGTAGGCCCCGAGCCCACTGGCCTGAAATTGCTTTGGCTGAAGCCTACCAGCGCGGCCTCCAAATACAACAGCACCAACATCCCTCCACGCAAGACGTTCACCATCCAATATACCAATTGGCCACAACGGCTACAGTGCAGCGAACTTTTGGCCCCTCTCTGTCGGACTGGTATGATACCACCCGAATCTACCGTGCTCTCCAACCAGTAGCAGAAGACCAAGTATTTTGGGATCAAATAGTTTTTCCAGGGAAGTAGGATTGTTTTTCACTCGAACACTGCTGACGTGTAGTCCATTCGCGTAGGCCACGGACTGCATTTCGCTTGTCAAAAAAATCTAGCGGCTTAGGGAAAGGGAACGTGAAGTGCTATACCTGGCCAAATGCTGCCTTTGGCCAACCACGTGCTCGTTGACGAAAACCGCTGGCTTTCGTTTTGCAGCTTCTCAGGTCAAGTATATTAGGGGGCCTCATTGTTGTCTTCAGATATAGAATTTGTTGGTTAGCTAGTAGGTGGAGGCCATCACTAGTAGGGTGGAGGCCATTGCTATTGGGTTCTTATTCTTATTCTGAGTTGGGAGTCTCTACGAGGCCTCAAAAGGCTCAAGATCGGTTAGCCAATTTAGCTGACTAGAAGTGTCGGAGGGTGTTGAGGGGCAACCCTTTGCAAATTCTCCCGACTCAGTGTCCTCGTGTGGCCCGACCCTGTGGGAGCTCGAAGTGTCCTTTCCAATTGATGGCTGATCCGATTTCTTTTTCATTGAATTCTAATTACTAGTAGCTTCTTGTTACTACTAGTAAGGCACTTGTTACTAGTAGCG